AATCAGAAGATGTGGCCCATGTAAACAAACGATAACATCCACACAAAACACAAACACCCCACAACCTCACATTCTCGTGGATGATCCACACTTGATATCACTACGGTTCACTTGAACCCCTCCAACAAGCCCAACTCTATAATCCAAGTAAATATAACAAATCAGAAGATGTGGCCCATGTAAACAAACGATAACATCCACACAAAACACAAACACCCCACAACCTCACATTCTCGTGGATGATCCACACTTGATATCACTACGGTTCACTTGAACCCCTCCAACAAGCCCAACTCTATAATCCAAGTAAATATAACAGCAGAGCAAAACAATAGAAGGGGGAGAGATAAGATTGATAGAAGAAAAGAGAACTAAATGGCCTTAGAATTAGCTTGTTTCCAAGTGAGCACCATTTCCTCTTCATCTACTCCAAATAAACTAAATCCTAATCACCCTTCTCCTCACAAGGAAAGGCTCGGATTGAGGCCAAAGAGATCGATATCGTCGTTCTTGACGACAACATCATCTTCATCTTTCAAGCATTATCAGTCTAATGCCCGAGCAAACCGTTTCGTTTGCGAAGCAAAGAATGCGGTCGATGGAGGTATAATATGTGTTACATGTTTGTTTGTTTTTTTTTTTCTATAGCAATGACTAAAGAAGGTGAAAGACGAGTCTACAAGTAACTATAAAATGTGCTTGAAAATTTATGCATAGGGCACTAGTTCTTTACATTGCTCTCAGCCCTGCTCGTATAGGCATTTTCTCTTTGCTAATAAGAGCAAAGCATAAGAGTGCCTTGGGCCAAACATGCTAGATAGTGGCCCAAGTCCGCTTATTTAAAAAAATACCAGTTCTGTAAAAGTCCAGTAGAAAGCATTCACCTATTTTGTTTCATGACATAAAATGATGCACCAAAGGGAGATCAATTATTCAGTCAATTTTAAAATCTCCAAATTCGGCGATCCAAGATTCGATCTCTTTTCAGTAACACCATCAATTCAGTTGACAGATACTATCGTTTGACAATATCCTAGCCATGAATATACTCTAATTTCAAGATTCTAGCATTTGAATGTCCTAATTGAAATACGTAGCGCTAGATACCAATGGTAAGATCTTTCGACTTGGAAAAATCCAAACATTTAATTTTATCTGTAGTTCTCGAATCTTGAATACTATTAATATCAGCCTACCTCAATTACTAGTTTAACATGCTAGCTGACGTACGTCCGTCTTTCTTCATATGCACACAGTTGTGGCAGTAGATGATAAAAGCTGGGACACGGCCGTGATGGCCAACGAAGCTCCTGTGATCGTCGAGTTCTGGGCACCATGGTGCGGCCCGTGCCGGATGATAGCTCCGGTGATCGACGAGCTGGCCAAAGAATATGCCGGAAAGATCGCCTGCTACAAAGTAAACACCGACGACTGCCCCAACATCGCAAGCAAATATGGGATTAGGAGCATTCCGACCGTCTTGTTCTTCAAGAACGGGGAGAAGAAGGAGAGCGTTATCGGTGCCGTGCCGAAAAGTACGCTGAGCGCTACCCTAGAGAAATATATCTGATTGTTGCAGCGTTATGTAGGAGCATGTTATGTAAATGTTATGACATACATCATAATTTGATGACAGAAGCTACTATGATCAAATTCTTAAACGAAGGAATTTATGTTCGTGTATGTGATATCCCCATTTACTTATCTCAGTACGGGTGTTTTCGGAAGCGTAAACCGGTCATTTTTGACATTGGTTTGAGTCATTTAGTGACAAACAGCACAAGAGCAATTAATCTCAACTAGTTCTTTGAAACCAAAAACTAGATCTATGAAGTGTTAATAGATAAAGGTCTCCAGATTTTTATTGCACATGAACTATGAGAAGAATATCGTTACCTTGCTGTTTACGAGAGCTGCATGCATAACCTAATTTCTCGGTATTGAAACAACACTTTACATACGAAGACGGAGATAGGTATAAATTTATTATATATATAATTATGAGTTATATTTTCTATATATATAGTAATTGCTTGACTTTCTTAAAAATCTTCCAAAAACCGATTGAGGTAACCAATTATTTTTAGCATGAATAAATTGGCATTGGTCCGAAATTCAAAATTCACTTTCTTGGTTTCCCTCTTATTTGTGTACAAGATAAAACTCTTTCTAATGCAAGACCGCTTTTTTTTTTTTTTTGTGGATGATGATGATGATGATGATGATGATAGAGAAACTCGAAGGGGAGCTGGCTTTAACTGTGAATGTTATTTGCCCTCTGAGTACATACATCACAGCTATTTGATTTCATTTGATCTGAAGATAAGGAAGTAAAACAAATGATGAAAAAACGACCGCATTTGTGGATGGTTTGGTTTTCTGCAAATGCAGTAATTGCCGCTACGGTCGCATTCAACTGAGAAACTTTGAAGTAGTTGCAGTTGTTTGTTTCATAAAAGCTAATAAAAACAGCTGCAGGTGCAGATGTAAAACACACACCCAATTAAAATCGAACATAAGTCCCAGTTACAAGTGCTTTAACAACGAAAGAGGTTTAAATTGCACCTCCAGCTGCAACTAATCCCCAATAATAATCCAAAAAAGATCTTTAGCGTCACAAGACAAACGTCTTTTTAACTACAACTATAGTCGCTAGCTGTGAAACTTTAAAAACTTAAAACGAAGCAACAGAAGGCCTATCAAGAAAATGAAAGATAACAGTAATGCGCTCTCAAACTATGAAGCAATCTGAAGTCTTGAGCCCAAAAAACACGGCAGGGCAAAGCATGTGAGCTCTTATAGAGCCGGCACGGTGTGCAGAACGTCAAATAGAAACTCAATGCAAAAAGAAGTTCAAATCAGAAAGCAACTCACCTAGAAATGGAACAACTATAAAGAACGAGCTGTACATGCTACTCAAGTTTCCAATGTGCGGAACCGTACCGAAGTGAAGCACAATGGCAAAGCATAATACAACATTAACCTTTAAAGACAAGTTAGAGAATGTGAGGTTAAAGGATACAAGGCACGCGTATGAAAGAAACCACTGTATATGTTTTCATTTTGGGGAATTAGTAGTACATGGAGACAGGCATCTGGAACAAATTTATAGAACTTTTCTTAGCTCTCTCCATTGCCGTGGGATATTAAGGTTAACTCTTTCCTCCTGTCTCGGCTATTTTGATTTTGAATCACGGGGAGGTTTTCCAATCAAACGGAAGATTATTGAAGTTATTAACTGCTCCGAGCCCGTTCAACTGCTGATGGCTTAATACTCTTGGATCCTGAGATATTTGATTCATTCCAACCCTCCCATTCATCATGCTCATTGCATTATTGACCATTCCACCAAAACCCATACCACTTAACCCCATATTATTCGTAATTATACCATTATTAGCAAAGCTACTTGTCCTGTTAAGAGACTGTGTGATTCCATTAATCCCTTTCAACTCATTCCCCAAGGTTCCCATCCCATTAAGCTGAGAGGACATCATCATCTCCTGCAAAATTTTCTGCACAGAGCTCTGTGAACTGTTTGGGTCTGCTTCTTGGGGTTGTGAAGAATTCAAGTGAGGGTTGCTATGAGAGGTTGGAGTCAGGTTATTGGATGAAGATGGATTGGGTTGCGAAGTAGCGACTGAATTCGATGAGCTGGCAGATGGAATCTGCATCGTGTTTGCTCCACTATACGGGCTGTTTGCTGTGCCCATGTGATTTTCTTGTCTAGAATTCATTGAATTTTGGTGGAGAAGCCCAGCAACAGTAACTGTAGATGTAGTTGATAATGATGGAGCATTCACCGAGTTATTTGCACTTGGAATGCTGTTGCTAACTGCAGCAAATTGTGTGCTGGTCGTTTGAATAGAAGCCTGGCCATTACTATTTGAGTTTTGAGCAATGGATTGCTGCTCCTCAGCATGTTGTGCTTGTTGATTTTGTTGATGCTGTTGATGCTGTTGATGCTGAAGCCCAGATGAGCAAGATGTTCTTCTAGGGAAGTTGATTAGACTATCTGAACAAGTGCACAAGAAAATTGGTTTTTTAAATCATTTATTAGAGTAAAGAGACACTAAAAAACCATGTAGGTTTAAAACAACCTGAGAAGAATATAATTATGTTTACATTTAATATAGACAATGTGTATAGTAATTAACATTTGTCAGGCACTAAGCAGCGTCAGAAAATATCAATTCCACAGCAAACTATAAGTCGTGCTTGTGCAATGTATTTGGTCAATCTCTTGGCGGTATATAAACATAAATCATGAGAGAGAAAAGATGCAACCCACACAAAATGTTTGGTTTTTTACCATATTCTATTCGTTGTTTATAGGCGATTTATATGTGCATACATCAAGTTATTTTAATCTATTTTGATGAGCAAATAGCTAAGAATTTGGTTTGTGGTTGGTAAGATTATCATCACTAATTATTATTCTTTCCTGTGTATGCAATGTGCAAATAAAGATATGAGGCGATAACCAAAACATAATATTGTTGGCATATAGCAAGTAAAGCTTACCCATCGGTCCTGTCCCAGTTTCTCTGCTATAGTCGATCAAATCTTTCATACTATTTACCACCTCCGAAATCTGCAGTTTATATCCCAAAGTCAAAAATCAAACAGTAAAATTAAGGGGGAAATGCGCATGGTACTTTATTTATCATGTCACTCACCTGAATGATACCTGGTAAAGAACAGGGAGTTAAGTATAGTACTTCATATGAGCACAATAACTAACAAGCTAACATGCGCATATTCTTGAGCTAAAAACTAACCATTCCATTTCATCTCACATCTCAGATCCATTATTTGTAGGAAAAAAGGACCAAAATAAATTCCTTTCTCATTTGGTGGTAGACCAAACTAACCTAGTAAACTAAGTCATCGTTAGAAAGTACATGGTCCAGACAGTGTACTTATGATGATTGCTGAGCACCAGCTGTGAACCCTTGTTTAGAAAGATTAGCGGAACAACCTTGTATCCTCGGTATTGGAAGAGGAAGCTTGCTTTTTAAGAGAACCCAGCCTACAGTGTCTGTATTTTAGCCCACAAATGTATGGGAATTAATAATACAATAACATCGATAGAATGGAACAGAATTTGCAATTAAATATCTTCAAGGTGAACCATAGATTTCTAATAATGTGAGAATAAAGCATAATTAAGTCAACAAAAGGAAGGTTTCAGTTAATGTTACAAAGATTGTAAACTGGATTCGTACCAGACTTCACACAACCAATCCCAATGCTTCGACAGAAAACAATATATAGAGGAAACATTAAAAAGAAGAAAGAGACTACCTGCAGACAGCGAACATATCTCTTTGTGTATCCCAAATCATTCACTAGTGGCACCTCCAATGCTTTAGCTAATTGACGAGCAGATGCCACAAACCTATATAATGCATTTTGCAAGCATATTTATTAGAATTATATTGATGGAACAAAGACATAAGAATCCTCAGGTTAGAAATTATATACAGTTATGCTGAGGGGTGAACAACATCACTACGAGAGAAGAAAATGAATGGTAACAGTTGAATTTCCATCACCAGAATTTGTTTGCTGGTATGGGTTGCTAAACATAAATTGTGCTTCCAATTTGGAAAATGAATATCTATATACATCACTGAAATACTGTACATGATGCCAATACGGAAGATTTTAGGTTATATGTAATATATGAAATAACTTAAAAGATTTTTTAGTGTGCTTGTATAAATATTTTTGGAGTGCATATGAAAATAAACAAGAAGTTTGGGGTTGTATGAGAAAAACTCGAAACTTTTAAATTAGTAAAGAATAACAACTAACAACCTATGCCACATCAATCGCCCTATTCTCAAATAAGTAGCACATGGAACTAATTTGGACATCCTTTGAGCATGCAACCTTAAAACACAGTTAGTACAGTTAAGTATTTTTAAGACACAGTAGATGCCGTTTGGCAAGGGATTAGGAGAGGAAGGTTAAGGAGAAGGCTTAAATTAGTTAACCCATTATGAGGGTTTCAAAATATTTTAACTCCATTTGGATTATGTAGTTAACATGAAGGGTTAACCATTTTGTGTATGGTAAATAAAGAAGGTTTATCATTCTCAATTTCTTCGGATACCAACTTTACTTTATTGAAAGTAGGAAAATTTTCTAATAACTCTAATATTTAAGGTAAATTTAACTAGAATTTGCATTCATCTAGACTATTAAAATATTGTCATTCTGTATTGGTTAAGTAAATGAATGTTGAGGTGGCTAATAAAAATGAAAATCAATTTAAAATTAGAAATTTAAAAGCTTGTGGTTATATAGGAATAAAGTGATAAGAATTCTTATTGTGAAAGATAAATGGTCATATCAGCATGAAATCAAATGTTAAAGAGGGGTAAATAATAATAATAAAGTAAAATGTTTTTTATTAATCTTTAATCTTAAGTGAAATTAGCTATTAAAGGAAAAAAGTAATATTTTTCTCAATAATACTATATTGAAATTTAGAATCACAAATCAATGCATATTTCCTATTGCATATCATATGACATATATTAAGGATATTTCCTCTAATGGTCACATTTGAGGGATGCAAACAAATAATTGATGGTTTATGATGGGTTTATGGGAAAATTTTCCCTCCACAAAACATCTTTCCCTCCAATATATTATCCACATAGTTTCCCCCCACCAAAAATCCTATCTAGTTGCTCGCTAGTTCTTTCCAAGATAACCACTGCGCATGAGGAGTAACACTAATTCTGCCTTCTCGAGAGGAATTGTTTAACTCATCATGTGCGAGTTAACAAACCCATTGGAGCTTCTAGTTGTTTGGAGGGTTAATGAAGGTTAAACCCTCTTAAACCCTTCACTAACCCATTGCCAAATGGAGCCTTAATAAAAGTAGTTATTCCTTTCCTATGAAAGATTGCATGATCTTATAGAACTTTGCGCTGCATTTATCTGAGCTAAAAAGCGATCTCTCCAAATTTAGTTTAGTTCTACAGAGCCTAGACTTTAAAGGATTTTGTGATGATTCAACTCTGCTCCATCTTGAGGGTGTCTATTGGTTTTGTATGGTTATGAGACATTGGATATCACTCTTGTGAGACGAACAGATCTTGGTACACTGCTATTGGATTTATGATGAAAAATCCCTTGGGAAGAGTCGACCATACTACATGGGATAGCAGACAGGGTAAGTCCTCGTGTTTTGTTGATTGTTTTCTCTCTTATTAATCTTTCTTCATTCCATTATGTCAATTTGTACCTTATTTTCCATGTAAATTCCTTAAACCTATTAAAAAGAGACTGGTACTTTAGTATACATTCTTACTTTGATTTAATAAAGTAGGATGTGTTGTTTGGGGTAAAAGGATGAAGTAAAACTAGCTTACACCAAGCTAAAATTTCAGATTAGTTAAAGATATCAGATAAGTATGTTTATGTAACTAAAAAAACGCACCACAACAGAAACTATAAAGAACTTGCACAGTAACTATAAAAACCAACACACGTACCACGAGAGAAACAATAACGAACTTGTAGGGTGGCTATTTATCCCTAACGTTCTGATATTATTTCTTCAAATAACCAAGATAACCCCAAATTAATGAAAAATAACATGAAGATAAATAAAAAAAAGAAATGACTTACGAACTACATGTATTCTGCAATTCCTGAGTTGATAAGCCAGACGATGCATTCTGAACAGCAGCCTGATACTTGTGCACAACTGCTCCAAGTTGACTAACCTACAAAGAAAAAATCAGGATAAATCAGCCAGAACTACAAGTCAAGAGTGTTGGCAAGCAAATAAGAAACAGAGACTTTTCCTGCGGACATATATGTATGTGTGGACTGATATACAAATACAAATTAATGCATATGCTAAACTAACAGCTAAGACTTTTTCAGTCATTGTTATCTACAATGTAATATATCCTATGTAGCGTCTTTAGTGTAAAGGTAAAGCAGATCTATTATGTAAAAGTTACAAGTCAACTTAACAAATATGATTCAAGAGAGGCGAGTAGGGTAACAATTCCCTTTTTTTCCCCTAATGTTCTGTTCTCTTTGTCCAGCTTCACAGGGTTGATACTCAACTGTTTGGATGTGTAGATACGCACAAATTTATGGTAATGCGCTTACATATAAGTTAGATGAATTACATGTATTAAAAGAAATTAATCTGCTAATAGGGATGATAGGCTATACATGAGGGTTAAAAATCATCTTATACTAAGGCGATGAGAAAAGGATAAAATGAGTTTATCCCGAAAATCAGGATGAACAATACATAGTTATTTTGGTTCTATATAGTATGGATTAACATTTACCTGAGGTATTATTAGTCTTCTAGGTATAAGCTCTTCATGACGCCTAGCGCAGAACTCCCAGGAAGCAATCTAGGAAAAGAGTGATTAGCCCAATCATCTACAAACCATTTACATAGTTAAACGGACAACAATATGAGCAATTTCTCACCTTCAGATCTAGATTGAAAACAATCCGGAGCTGGCCATCACGTACAACACGCAACTGCTCAAAGACACTCTCCTGAATTGCTTTAGCATAGTCCAACACAATCTGACCTGATGAATTCTGATACTCTCGAGGCATATCAACATAAAGAAGTTCCTCTAGTGTGCCACTAACATATTTGATTTGGCATAGTCTAGGCAAAACCTCAACAGTTGTTTCTACAAGATAATAAAAGGAATTTAATAATAATAAGGAAACCCTGTGAAAGGCACTTCAAGCAGGAAAAATAACTCTTAAAATTGTGATTTATAAGCAAGTACGACCACAAAGCCAAATTATACATGCAGCTGATATAGAAATCAACAAAATAAGACACAATTGATGACGAAGACAAGAATGGAACATACCAAAACCACGACCAGGCTTTCGGTTGCAAATTTCACAATGCCATACATCCTGCGAAACGTATGTAAATAGTCAGCAAAATTCACATGAAAATCATAACGATACCAAATAGAAAATTAAATCTTTAGAGATACTATAGTTGTGGCACTTTTCACGCAAAACAAATCAGGAACAGTAAGAAAAATTAAATCCATTTCCATTATATGCAGGCAATTGACATTCATATACCTGTGGGAAAACCCCAGTCGTCTGTCGACCACTTCCGTATAGAGAAACACACCATCTCTTCTTTGCATTAGGCGCAAAGTACTCAGCAACAAATTTCCTCCAGTACTCAATATTGTTATCCTATATTTACAAAAATTGAGAGTACAAGAGTGAAAAACAAGGAAAGCACAAACACACAAGTTTAGGTTAGTTCCTCCATTTAAACCCTACCAAATGAAACCTCAAAAGCAGAATAGAGAAGAAAATTACTTCAGGTCTGTGCTGCTGGTGATACATATAATGTGTCAATCTACGAGCACACATTCCAGGCTCATAGACTGCTGGTTTTTGTGGCGGTCTGGCAGATAGATTTTGCTGCTGAAGCTGCTGAGGTAACTGTGCTCTTTGCTGAGGAAGAGACTTGAGTATTAGCTGCTGCTGCTGCTGCTGCTGAAGTAGTCTTTGCTGCTGTTGCTGCAAGAGATGTTGCCTAGACAATTGCATCAACTGCTGTTGTTGCTGATTCTGTTGCTGCTGCTGCTGTTGCTGTAGAAACACTGAAGCATCTGAATGTTGGAGTTCCATTTTCATGGGGCCTAAACTTCTCAAAGACTGCAACTGTTGTGGCTCCAACTTCACCTGACTCATACCCCTCAATGCTTGTAACTGCTGAACTGACCCATTTTGATCAGCGGAACCCGTTGGCTGCTCCAATTTAACCGAGCCTACATTCCCCATTCCTCCCCTTTGTTGCTGCTGCTGCTGCTGCTGTTGCTGTTGCTGGCTATGAGGAACTTGGAACTGTTGCTGGAAATTCTGCTGTTGGTTCTGTTGGTGACCAGACCCGAGTTGGTTTCCATTATTATTATGAAACTGGTGTTGGATATTCACGGGATCAGATTCAGTATTGCCTAAAGTATCAACTGAACCCCCTAGACCATTTCTCTGGTGGAGATTCAGCACACCATTTCCCGAAACTTGACCGCCATTTTGAAACGGTGGGTTGAGAAGGGAAGAGACATTGGAGATGTTAGCAAGCAAGCTGTTTCCATTGAATTGGGTTCTCGGCGAGACGAGGGAAGAAAAAGGAGGCTGAGATTGCATAGAATTGGAGTGAACTCCCCCCATCAAGCCGGAATTCGAACGGAGAACCGACGCAGGCACCGATTGGGACCCACCCATCGGATTCTGAGGCCCCGAGGGAACCATCTTTCTATTAATAGCTAAAATTTTGCTAAGTTTCTATTCACAGAGGTCCAAAAAGGCAATCTTTTTCCATCAAAACAACTTTTTTTAGGTGGTTCACAGGAATCTTTTCCACTTGGCACGCTGAAATCTGAAGTAAAACCCCAATCCAGATTCCAACGACAACAGCATTCCACAAATAACAACCACTGAACGAAATTGAAGCCCCTAAAATCAGCACTCTCTCAAACTCAGCGCACAAATTTCACAAAGGATTACTTAAAATAGCCGAAAAAGATAAACCTAATGAGAAAAGGGGATAAATCCAATTACCACAACGAACTCAAGCGACTCAAATCCCTGAGCAACAGAGCGAGCTTCAGCAGAGCTCTCCCAGTTCGATTTGTAGCTACTCCTTCATAAATCTAGAGCTAGGTTTTCTTCAAGCATTGATTCTGCTCCGCAAAACTGCAATTGTTCATCTTTTTTTATCCCCCCCTATTTTCAGCTTTACTTATTTTATTTTATTTTTTTAAGAGTGTGATGTTATGATCTTGCGGACGTCAAAATTCTCTCGGATTTGATTAATCTCTTTCTCTCTCCTCTTTCTCTCTCTCTAGCCGACTTCCTCTCTCGCATAAAACCCCATCCCATCGTCGCATCATCCATCCATGCGCAGCGCGAGGTGAGAAGCCGCAATTACGAAAATACCCATGATCTTTATATAAGGGACCCATTTCAAAAATAGTTTTTTTTTCAATATTTGTTTACAATTTTCAATCCAGTCTTAACTTAAATAGCATTTTCGACATGGTTTCATGAAACTATGTCAAAATTCTTAAATACAACTTTACAGAATTGTTGATCCCATAAAGTTTAAACATAGAAAATTTTACGAGATTGACAATACCGTGATATTTTAATTAGTAATTCCCACCTAGTTTCATAAAATTAGGACGAAATTGCTAATTAAGTTAGAACTGGATAAAACATTGTAAATAAATAATTAAAAAGTTTGATTTTAAAAAGTTGTCCTTGTATAAATTACAATAGCGAGCGAATCTCGAGGAGGCTGTATAGGGTCCCACATCGATATTGATTATTGTTATGATGTTTTCAATCGTCAAAGTGTAACCATTTGCCAGCAACGGACATGTGTACTTCTGTATGCAATGCCCCAATCAAATTGCCGGTCAAAACCAACAAGGGTTCCAACTTAGCCGACTCGTCGAGTCGACATTCCTTCATATCGACTCGAAAGGTGGTACTAGTCGACCCTCTTGTCGAAAACGACTCACAACGAGCCCACTCGACCTTCTATTTGATGTCTCAAGATGACAACTCGAAAGTGGTTACTTCTCGGCGAAGCTAGAGGATGACTTCAGCCTCGAGCCTCCCCCGCTGACACAACGTCGACGTCGTATTTAATGCTTGGCAGGCATCATCATACCTCTAGCATTGATAGCCTTCATGACTCATCGGACCACGTCGGCACTGCTATGCCTCAGATCGCTTCACATTTAATGCTGATGTGATCTCTCCTCCAGTCGCTAGCCGTCACCTGTAAAGTAAAAGCTGACTCAGCCGCCAGCCCATGCTTCTTCACCGTCATCCTATGTCCGGCCATAATGACGGTTCTACCCTTATACCATTAGTATAAATACGATGTACTATTCTAACATAAAGGGACTTTTAGACTTTGAGATCTAGTTTCAAAATCTGATCTTCTAAGAAAGATCTGCAAATTATACTACACACAAAAGAACTCTCACAGTTCTTCACATTCCTCACTCAATTTCACCAGCTGACTTGACCGTCAGAGGAACAATGGGGGAACCAGTCCCCGTCCTCTCATGGATTTCTATATGTGCAGACTTTAGATACTCAACTTAGAATCGGATATTCGGGAAGGAAGCAGCCCCTCATCAACTTCACTCCCATCCAACCACGGATATAATTGACTAAGTGATCACTTAGCATTAACAGTTTGGCGCTCATCGTGGAGCCACTTTCTTTTTCGAGAAAGCATGTCCGGTTCTGATGATAGTGCTGATCAGTTTCACCCTATAGAACCATATCACAGCTATGTTACTCGAGCCCAGCTGGAAGAAATAGCTCAGAATATATCTCAATCTCTCCAAGAGCAATTCGCTACCTTTACTAGCGAACTTCTCAACCGGCTTCCACAGCCATAGCATGCTACCTTAGTTATTTCCCCACCTTCTAGAGACATGCAGTCGGAGACTCACCCTCCTTCCGGAGCACAGCAAGTAGTCCCACCCGGGACTCCTCATGCTGCTGCCAAGTAGTTGGGGAATCGCGTTGAGTACGTGACCCCGCCACCTTGTCGATCGACTCGCCCCGGAGTGCCTCACTGACATCTTCTCTCACATCAAAAAATCACAACCGAGAGTCATGGCCCTGGTCACCTTGAGGATCGCAATAGGGGAGTGGTCTCTAAGACTCTCCTCTATTATCATGTCTCTCCAACCCCCTCTAGTACCATAGGGGCCTCTGGCTACGATCGGGTGTACAGACTGGTCGCAGAAGCCATTGAGGAGAACACCCCTCTTTCAGAAGATTTATGAATGCCCCATGTGAGAAGTTCAAGATATCTCACGTGGAGAAGTATAAAGGCGATGGAGACCCCTCCGAGCATATTCAAAACTACTATGATATAATGAGCATGCTTCAAGCATCGGAAGCAGTCATCTGTCGATGCTTCCCAATCACTCTTTCAGGGAGTACGAAGCTCTGGTGGAACACTCTTGAGAAGAAGTCCATCAGCAGCTTCTAACAAC